TATGAAGGTGAATATTGTGCCAAACATATTTCCTTATTCATGTTATTCCCCCCCCCCCATGTTTGATGTGAACTACAATACAATTCTTGACTGGTAGGTGCGTCCATGGATGGAAGTTGTAGGCAGTACGGGGCGGCCGGACCTTCCGTAACTTGAAGGAGGCTCATGGGTTTCCTCACACAAAGAAGCTACATTGGTTAAGTACCTAATTAACTAACTAGTTAGACGGTTGAACAGTTAATTGAGAAGGAAGATGACTAAATGTCAAAAGTTAATATCCTGAATATTAAAAGTACTAAAGGCACAATCTAAGTGGTATTACTTGAGATCAATTTCAATAATACAGAGTGATTCTAAATTATTGTCTGGAATTCCGTGTACAGTAATTTTCAAACCGGAAACAATATAAAAATTCTTTATTGAATATAAAAATATAACTCAAAAATGTTATTACTTATAGAATAAAACTGCTTACGGAATATAGAAGTGTATCTCAAAAATTTTATTCTGTGAGAAATAAAACGTTTTCAGTTACGCTTTCATACTCCGTAAGAAGCTTTGTTTTTTTTTTCGGTTTGAAAATTATTGGCCACTGAAACGCTGAGAATCGTTCAGAATCACATTGTGCGTCAGTGAACCGGGCGATTTTGGAGCATGTTTTTTCCTGGATTGGTTAGAGTGGGGAGGATGCCACTACTTCCACCCAGCAGCCTACTTCAAAAAGTTTTAGTTGCAATGGTGCCGTGGCCTGGAGCGCAACGTGCTTTTGCTCTGAAAGCATTTTACAAAACTGTGACAGTTTCGTGGTTCGAAGAGAGTTCGGTATTCATCGCAATCGTGCTGTTCCATCTTCCCATGCCATTAAGACCTGGTTTCAGAATTTTGAGGCTACTGGTTCTACACTAAAATAGAAAGGCGGTAGCGTAAAAGCAGCACGTACACCCGAGAATGTAGCGGCAGTGAGAGAAGCCAATAAGCGAAGTCCACGCCGGTCTGCGCGTCGCCACCCTACATCACTCGGGCTTTCCGAAGAGAGCGTTCGGCGGATTTTATACAAAGATCTCCACTTTTACCCCTATAAAATTCAAATTACTGATGCACTACACGAACACGACTATGAAAACAGTGTTGATTTCTGGCAGACTTTTTTGCAATTAATTAATCAAACACAAGATATCGTTAACAACTTACTGACGAGCGATTAAGTTCGTTTCCAATTGACGGGATTTGTTAACAAGCACAATTTCCGCTATTGGTCAGCCACAAAACCCAAAGAAATTTATGAGAGACCACTTCACAGTTCCAAAGTCACAGTATGGTGCGCGTTATCTTCTTTTGGAATTATTGGCCCGTACTTGTTTGAAGATGAGGGAGAAAGGGCTGTAACCGTGACTGGACCACGTTACTTTTCTTAGCTCCTGCACTTTCTCGTCTTCCAGCCAAGGAAGAAACGTTTTTCCAACCACACCGCACGAGCTTCCATGGCAGTTGTGAATAACCTGTTTCCTAATCACGTTATCAGGTCCGCGCCGTAGCTCAAGGGGTTAGTCGCTGGCTTCCCATCGCGGCGGCCTGGGTTCGATCCCGGTTCTGGTCAAGTGGGATTTGAGTTGGACAAAGTGGCGCTGGGGCAGGTTTTCTCCGAGTACTTTGGTTTCCCCTGCCAATCTTCATTCCACCAATTGCTCCACAATCACCATCACCCATCATCTGGGGCTGGTACAATAGGCCAGAAGTGGCCGCAGTACTAGGGACAAGTCCCACCCCACTAGCAATAAAAAAGACCATGTT